TGCGAAACGGTTCACTCGTGAACTTCGAAGCAGCCCTTTTCACTCCGGGAGAGACTTGGCAGCGGCACGGCTTCCTCGCTGTGCTCTTTGCTGGACTCGCGAGATCACACGATCCCTGGAGACTTCAGGTCACGGTTTGTTCATGCAACCCACCATTAAATCAAAAAAGAAGGAAATCACGTTTATATTGCTGGTTGATGTCATATATGATGTTGTTCCTCTCCACTGCCAGGACTTAAGCCATGAAAACACACCGCTGCACTTCTGGAACGATGCATTGAGTAAATAAGCCGTTGGGTGACGCGTAAGCTTCATAAATATGAAATAGCATTGCTGCAGTACTTTTATTTAGAAAGTCACCGGGGATTTAACACTGAAACCGTGTGAGATTTCCTGTCCAGCCCATGTTAACTGCAGAAATGGACGTATCACAGAAGCGGCTCGCAGCAAAAATAGAACCCGATCCTACCTTTAGCAGCGCGGCGTGCTGCTTCTGGGACGCAGATGGAAATGGCCTCGTCGCAGCTGGTTTGAGACAGTCCATAGACTGTAATGGATTCTGTTTGAAGCGGTGACGTTCTGCTGCCGCTTCGCGCAGCTGATGCTTTCAGTGTGAAACTGGGGTAAGTCCTGAGGCCGACTTCCCTCTCCTCAGCCACTATGGCCAGCTCAACTGGAGGAATCCCAAGGTGTTCCCTGGCCAGCTGAGAAACATAGTCCCTTCAGCATGTCCCGGGTCTTCCTTTAGGTCTCCTCCTGGTTGGACATGCCTGGAAAACCTCACCAGGGAGGCGTCCTGACCAGATGCCCGAGCCACCTCAACTGACTTTAGATGTGGAGGAGCAGGGTTAGGGTTAGGATCTACTCTGAGCCCCTTCCGGATGACTGAGCTTCTAACCCTATCTCTGAGGGAGAGCCCAGCCACCGTGCGGAGAAAACTCATTTCGGCTGCTCAGATGTCACAGATGCCCTCAACACCTTGGCTGCTCCTAGAAATCCTGTCCATAAAAGTTATGAATAGAATCAGTGACAAAAGGCAGCCTTGTCGGAGTCCAACTCTCACCAGAAACGAGCTCAACTTACTGCCAACAGCGTGGACCAAGCTCTGACAGCGATCACACAGGGACCTACCAGCCCATATCAGAGGGTCTGGTACCCCATACTCCTGGAGTATCCCCACAGGGGGTTGAACACCTTCTCCAAATTCACAAACACATGAAGATTGGTTGGGCGAACTCCCACACACCCTCCAGGACCCCGTAAGAGCACTTTACCAAATGAAACACGTCCAGGAATGGGAGCAGGCCACAGGAAACAGTAGTCCAGAGAGAATCCAGTGCTGTGAGAGAGGATAATGCTGAGAGACTGCTGACAATCTGGCAGTGTCTCAGACCTGCATAGTATCAGGATTGTGTTCTCTCCCCTCTGCTCTTCCCTGTACACCATCGACTGCACCTCCAACCATGAATCTGTCAGGTTTGCAGACAACACACCATCATCAGACTCATATCTGACGGGGATGAGTCTGCCTACAGAAGGAGGAGGAACGGCTGGTGTCCTGGTGCAGCCACAACAACCTGGTGCTAACACCCAGAAGACAGCGGAGGTTGTTGTGGACCATTCCCCCATAACCCTGTCTGACACTCATCATGATGGTGGATTCATGTCACTTCCTGGGCACCACCATCACCTCCGTCATAAAAACATCCAATAGAGGATGAAGTTCCTGAGGCAGCTGAAGAAATTCAACCAATCAGCAGAGTCGATGAGGCAGTTCTACACCACAGTCATTGAGTCATCCTCACCTCTTCCATCACCGTGTGGTATGCTGGAGCTTCCACCAGGGACCAGAAGAAGCTGTAGCGTGTTGTACGCTCTGCTGAGAAGGTCATTGGCTGACCTGTACACCTCCAGGTCATTGGGGCGTGCAGGTCGGATCACAGCTGACTCATATCACCTTGGACACAGTCTCTTCGACTCGCTCCCATCTGGCAGGAGGCTCAGATCCATTCGGACCACAAGAACAGTTTCTCCCCTCTGCTGTTGGACAACCCTAGGGCTGCCCGCTCTGGTCAGTACCTACAATGTCTTGTGTATAGCATCTGCTTCTATAATTGTTGCCACTTTCTATTCCTATTTCTTATTGCTTATCTCTTATTTCTTTCTTTTTGCAGCCAATGTTGTAATTTCTCACACACAAGGCATAGAAATCCTTCTGATTGTGACTTTACGCTTTGGCTCATTTAAAAGGGCTCAAATCAGATAATGCCTTTTTGCAGGAGACACATTTGTTCAGCAGATGAATCTGGTCCCTGAACTTTTAGCTCTAAATCAAGGGGGTGGCTATCATAACTGGTAATCTGTACAAGTTAGCGTTTCGAGTGAACATAGAGGTTCTGCAGGGTGTTATATAATTGTAGTGGGTTAATAGTTCCCACTCCCAGGTTTCCTGGTATTGATATATGCACCAAACTGGGCTGATCATTCCTTTTTCACTTCA